CTAGACCTGTTAGTCAGCCAAATATTATAGTAACACCTCCAGACCTGCCAGTACTAAGTATAATATTAATAATATCTGAAATAAAGCTCCAGCATGTTATAAAAGCAGTAGCTGTACACAAACACTCATCACTGGTAACCTACAGTAAAAGGATTGTTCAGTATTAGTTCTATACAGCAAGTCAAGACAAGATGGATTCCTGTTCTTATTTTAAGCTGATAGGATGCTTCATTCTTATTAGCATTGCTACTGCACAGGCTCAATCTACACGTAAGTCATGACATTAATGATGATAGATATGACTATTTTGTTGATGTAGCTTGTCACCCTCGTGATTGTAAGGAAGCATATGAAAGTGGTAACACATGCAGTGGAGTATATACTATCAAACCTGATAAACTACCAGCCTTTGAGGTAAATAATATATCTGTATTAAAATCACTATATTCCATAGGTTTATTGTGATATGAGTAATGGAGGTGGATGGACTGTATTTCAAAGGAGAATGGATGGTTCTGTTGACTTTTTTCTCAACTGGGCTGATTATGAAAAAGGATTTGGAGACCTCAACGAAGAGTTCTGGCTGGGACTTAACAAGATAAACCGACTTACTGCAGGACAAAGCAATAACCTCCGTGTTGACTTGGCAGATTTTGATGGGAATAAGAAGTATGCTACTTATTCTACTTTTGATGTAGGGAATGCAGCTGTTAATTACACACTGACTGTGTCTGGATACGGAGGCAATGCTGGAGATGGTCTGAGCTATCATAATGAAGCGGAGTTCTCTACTAAGGATCGAGACAATGACCAATTCTCCAGGATAAGCTGTGCAACATATTATGGCGGAGCTTGGTGGTATAAAGCTTGTTATCAATCAAACCTCAATGGTCTCTATTTGATTGGATATAACAAAACAGAGAAAGGTGTCAATTGGTCTGAGTTCCCTATTAGGTACTACTCCCTAAAAAGTAGTGAGATGAAACTCAGAAGGAGCGACTAATGTCCACTGGAGAATGAACAATTCATTATTATTCATTAGTAGCAGTACACTGCAGTAGTTTAATATACATGTACATCTTCTATACATGCAATGTCAAATATATTAAATTTCAAGTGAACAGAAAAGTCTTTGATGATTTCTTGAAATGCTACAAAAAGGGGAGGGGACAGGACAGAGTTTATTAATCTTTATCACTTGTTAAAATGTAACAGGATACCATACACAGTGCAAAATGGCAGCCAGTATAATTTCAAGAAAATTAAATCTGCAAATAATTTTTTGGAGGAAAACTCAAAATTTATAGCCCTTACAAATTTTGTTCTAAACTGTACATTGTACAGAGTGACAATGACTAAAGCATTACTTTTTAAGCACAAAATTACAATACATGTAAGGTCACAAAATTTTTAGGATATTAATTTCATATCACAAATTTGTATAGCAGTCGTATGTACATGAGCATGCATTAATTTAACTAACACTTTAAGACCAGTCCCAAACATAAGAATAGTAAATACATGTATCATGTGATACTGTGTCATGTGACTCACTGTTAATCTTTAATATCAATACTCTATCAATTAGCTGAGGTATCAAGTGAATATCATTATCAGTGATGTCAGGCTCCTCCCCCTCATGGTATCCATATGTTAATAAACACTGTAACCATTTCATTGAGTATATGGGTATAGCATCAAACTATATAGGGAGAAGACATAAAATTACTTTTATATTTTACTTTTATATTTTTACTCTCTATAGCATACGTATACACCTCGAATCTATTTAACGGACAGCACCTAGTGCGGTACCAATTACATTCCTTACCTCTGACAGAGCAACTTTCTCCTACCAAAGTGTCCATTATATAGAGGCTACACTTATGTATAACATCACATGTAACTATATTATACTGTAATGAAAAATATTATGAGAACATGCACCAGCTCTTTTCCATTCTCAATCTTCTCTCCTCCCTCCCTCTCACCTCCAGTGGGTTCCAGTACATCAATCCATGTCTTACGTAAGGAGTCAGTCAACATTCTATGCTGCTCTGGACACCAGAGAAGTTTTCTTGCATTACAACTCTTTAAGGATTACATATGGTACAACCTAATATTGGCATGTGGATCAGGACTGGTGTCAACCTGAATCAGTCCTGATGATCAGACAAGGACCATAAAATTTGTATGGGCAATCAGTCCTGATACAATCATGGAGTTAGATCTAGCCACAGTACAGGCATGACACTTAAGCATCTAATATGGCATGAAAATTATTGGGTGTGTATACCACACCCACCTTTAATAAGTTCAATTCCTGTGAACGATTGGATAATCTTGGTTTCAAACAATTGAGTTTGTAATAGGAACAAATTAGAGGGGGCTGAGCCCTTGCTTGCAATTTCTATATTGCAGCAAATGTGAAATTTAGTACATAAAATAACAATTATGAAATGTACATAATTATTATACAAGAAAACATAAACATTGTACATTTTAAAATGCTAATTTATCAACAATTAAATAACGATTGAAGGGGTAATAATTTTTCTTTCAATAATCTATAAAAATTTTGAAATAAATATTAATAATTACAAATTATCAAAATAATACATGTACCTGTTAGCCTTGTTGTGTTGCTCACTCATTTCTATCTTCTCAATTAAATAATTTATAAATCTTCTAAGCGACTCGACTCCTTTATAATTATCACTGGTCCCACCTTTCAACCAATCGCTAGGCAAAATATGTAATAACTAGAACAAAGAGAGAGAGAGAGACAGAGAGAGAGACAGAGAGAGAGGGAGGGAGAGAGAGAGACAGAGAGAGAGACAGAGAGAGAGACAGAGAGAGACAGAGACAGAGACAGAGACAGAGACAGAGAGAGACAGAGAGAAGTAAAATGTGCCAAAATCATACAAGTACTCATATAAGCCGGTACTTAAAGTTGATTCACACTGTACCAATAACCTAAGTTATACTTAACAAAAGGTAGGGGCATTAGAAAGTATATGTACAATACAAACCAATGGCCACAGTCCTGTCTCATATAATGTATGGTGACTATGCAGTGTATGAATCAACCATTAATACTACAAGCATTTTCACTTACTGTACATACTCAAATTTGCTCTAAACACAAGTACACTAATTTCCACTTTGTAGAAAGTCTGAATTGAATTATGTATAATATCTTTTGAAAGCTGCTATAAAATACCGATTTCACCCATACAGTAAAAACTAAAACTGCCACTAGTTTCAATACTCAAGTACTTGTACACGTTTTTTTCCCAATAATGTTGTTTGTATCTATTGTCTTAGAGGGTCCCTCTCTACAGTACAGATCCACTTACTTTATTTGTTTTACTAACAGTTAGTTCATTAATTGGTGAATGTTGTAATGAGAGGAGAATATAACGAGATACCAGCCCATCAAACGCTAACTGGTACAATACACTATCAGGTAGCAACCCTTGACAACAGAGGGTGTTCCCTAGCAACTGATTAATAAAGACAATAGTTAATAATTATAATATAAATTTTCTACAAACAAACATTCTCTCTCCCTGCTTTTCTCATTCTTCTTGACACTTTGAATGTGATAAAATACCCAAGGCTATATACCCTTGGGTATTTTGTCACATTCAAACCATCTAAGACCATGGTTTTTTTCTAAAAAATGGCTCCAAAATCACCCCAAATTTTTATTACATTATTTGATACATATTGATGTACTTATGCTGTGTAGAAAGTTTGAGCTGATTCTGACAAATATTTTTTGAGCTATGGCCATTTTAAGAAATTGGCCAATTTTTGAAAAATACCCAAGGCTATATAGCTATGGTTTTTTTTCCAAAAAATGACTCCAAAATCACCCCAAATTTTTATTACATTTTCTGATACATATTGATGTCCTTATACTGTGTAGAAAGTTTGAGCTGATTCCGACAAATATTTTTTGAGTTATGGCCATTTAAAGAAATCGGCCAATTTCTAAAAAGTACCCAGGGCTATAGCCCATGGTTTTTTCTGAAAAATGGTTCTGAAATCACCCCAAATTTTTATTACATTTTCTGATACATATTGATGTACTTATGCTGTGTAGAAAGTTTGAGCTGATTCCGACAAATATTTTTTCAGTTATAACCATTTTTTTAAATCGGTCAATTTCTGAAAAGTAACCAAGGCTATAATAACCCATGGTTTTTTCTAAAAAATGACTCTAAAGTCATCCCAAAATTTCATTACAATTTCTGATACATACTGATGTCTTCATACTATATAAAAGTTTGAGCTGAATTTATTCATTCTTTCTTATTTTTCCTCCCTCCCACTCCCATTATATCAATGGTTTCCCTTACCTTCATTGATTTCCAATATTGTCTTTGATAGAAACTGTATGAATGAGTATTGGTGGCTTCTAACTGACTACAAATTAATTAACAATTAAATAATTAACTACATAACTGTAATATTAAATAGTAATTAGATAAACTTGTGGATGTGGTTACACTAAATTAAAGTCCATTTCATTTTGTTTCATTCTTCTCGTGCTTAATGAAGCATGGCTATTGCTAAAATGTTAATGCAATTGCTAAATTTTAATAAATTGCCAAATAATATTCCAATCAATATTAAATATGTTTTTATAATTCATAATATCAATACCTTTTATTCATTAGTGGTATGTACATGTCTTCATTGATTGATTCTTGTATTCTCTTTATTAAACTTCTCTGGAGGTCTTTGAAATTATCAGTTTGAGGGGAGACAGTAGGAAACTCTTCCTGTAGGTACTGGAGGGTTTTTACAAGACACTGGGTCTGAGCACTAGACAAGGGGTCCCATACACTGGCAATAAAACCTATATTTAAAAAAATTATAATAATCTTTGCTAAAATGGTAGCTAAGGATCAATTTATTTTTAATGCTAGTTTATAGATTGAATTATTTATGGTTGAATTTCAAAAGAAATTTTTCTGTAATGCTTTTGTACAATAAGGTGGATGTCACATTGGCAGTTTCTGTTTTACAGAATCACAATTAGAGGCCCTTCCAAATTTCTACTACAGTACATCCCACTCTCTCTCTTATGTAGTGACTTATTACAAACATCTCTACACTATATACAACATGTGAAGTAACAATGTCCATGGACACAAAAAATACAACATTTCATGTACCCTGAATATAGTGATGCATTATACTGAATAATGTTCTTTGAATAGTCAATAAAGAGAAGATAGGTCTTATATTCTTCCGTTTTGCTTTGGTATGTTTTTACTATGACTGACACCCTAGACCTGTTTGTCAGCCAAATATTAATTGGTAGCACATCTCCAAGTAGTAAGAGTGGGTGATATTCAATATTGTCTCATCAGTATGATGTCTCATTTAGATGTCATGATATCTTCTCCATCAAATTAACTGCTACAATAAAATGATTATTTATAATACAAAATAGCTGCATTTTAATGGTTCCTAGAGTGTCAGTATACAGTACTCATAACTAGTAGTAATAATGGCATCTATCATCATCTATGGACTACAACTCACAATAATAAGGATATATAGTAAGAAGCAATATTTCATGCAGTTTGCAGATACAATGTACTAATTAATAACAATGACATTAGTTACTAAACTTAAATACCTGAATGTATATTGCCCACCCTTATAGTATAGTAAGTATAATAAATAATATTAACAATATCTGAAATTGACATTTTTGCTGCCAGTAAATGAAGCTACAGCTTTCACAATAATAATGCTTATTTGTCTATAGATTGCATTTTATGGTTGAACTTCAAAAAGAAGTGTTTATAAAAGATTTCTGTATACTAAGGAGGCCTTAGGTGGGTGTCATATTTGGCAGTTTCTTAAAAAAATCACAATTAGAGGCCCTTCCAAATCTCTACTACAGTACATCCCACTCTCTCTCTTATGTAGTGACTTATTACAAACATCTCTACACTATATACAACATGTCAAATAACAATGTCCATGGTCATACAAAAAAATAATGTATCCAGAATATAGTGATGGGGCACTACTGAAGACTATGAAAAAATATTTTAAAATAGTTAATGAAGAGAAGATAGGTCTTATATTATTCAGTTTTGCTTTGGTATGTTTTTACTATGACTGGCACCCTAGACCTGTTTGTCAGCCAAATATTATAGTAACACCTCCAGACCTGCCAGTACTAAGTATAATATTAATAATATCTGAAATAAAGCTCCAGCATGTTATAAAAGCAGTAGCTGTACACAAACACTCATCACTGGTAACCTACAGTAAAAGGATTGTTCAGTATTAGTTCTATACAGCAAGTCAAGACAAGATGGATTCCTGTTCTTATTTTAAGCTGATAGGATGCTTCATTCTTATTAGCATTGCTACTGCACAAGGTACGTGTATATGTCATAACATTAATAATAATGGACATAACTAAATGTTTTTGTTAATGTAGCTCTTCCTCATAATTGCAAGGAGGTATATGCTCAAGGTAACACATGCAGTGGAGTTTATACTGTGAAACCTGATGAACTACCAGCCTTTGAGGTAAATATAATATTAATATAAAATGTTTAATGAGGATTTCCAAAACAAAAGTCAAACCTATACAAAAGTGCCTCTTAAACGAGGACACCTCTGTATAGTAAGGACATGTAGTGTGGGCCCAATGGTATCCTTAAAGAGGCTACAGTGCAGTAGCATATAATTTGTATCTATAATAGGTCTATTGTGATATGGAGACTGATGGTGGTGGATGGACTGTATTTCAAAGGAGAATGGATGGTACTGTTGACTTCTTCCTCAACTGGGCTGACTATGAAAAAGGATTTGGAGACCTCAATGGAGAGTTCTGGCTGGGACTTGACAAAATAAACCGACTTACTGCAGGACAAAGCAATAGCCTCCGTGTTGACTTGGAAGATTTTGATGGGGTTAAGAAGTATGCTACTTATTCTACTTTTAAAGTAGGGAATGCAGTCACAAAGTACACACTGACTGTGTCTGGATATGGAGGTGATGCTGGTGATAGTCTGAAATATCATAATGGAATGAAGTTCACGACTAAGGATCAAGACAATGATGAGTCATCAAACAATTGTGCAAAACTTTATACTGGAGCATGGTGGTATCATATGTGGTGTATAGACTCAAGCCTTAATGGTCCGTATCCAGTTGGCCCTGCCTCCCAGGTATTTAATATTGTATGGAGTCCCTATTATAAACTGCTGGTAACTGAAATGAAACTCAGAAGCAGTTAAACAGTCAGTGTGGAGAACTATAACAGTTCATTATTGCTAGTATAGTTGAGTCCATTTATATTTACTTTTTGCTACAAATATTCAATTGATTTCAAGTCTAGTCAAATACATTATACGTGTACATGTACATAATCACAATTAACAACACTAGCAGTATATGGTAGAATTAATAATGAGATTACTGTTAGAAAAGACACTAGGACCAGAATATACCATTAAGAATAATACATGTAGCATGTACATGTATGCAATGAGTATACCTGGTTCCACCAGTGATATCAGTAATAGTCTACTCTACAAGAGGTATACTATATACTTTTCATCTTATGGCTTCCCAGGAGTATATTCAATGATTTGAAATGTTAATCAGTAACATAATGTATCTCAGGTGTAGGAATAGAAGCAAAGTGGCAAAGTAAATTGTCCTTCTATTAGTGTTAAGGATTTCAAGGGAGAGCCATGGCCCCCTGCCTGCTACACCAATGCATAAATAAACTATTTATATTCATATTTCATAATTTCATATACGGCATACTAAGGTTGCAAACTGCACCACGTGGCAATGTAGATGCAAAATTTTGCAATTTTAATTTTGTGATAGAACAAATAAATGTAAAAATTGCAAAAATATAATCACCACAAAAATGAACCAGTATAGGTACATGTAGTTTTATATGCATGCTTGTCCATAAATTGCAACATAAATGGTTAATTGAATTTCAAAAAGAGATTCTATGCATTGTTATAGTACAAAGGTGGATTTCCTATTTGGCAGTTCCCTTTCTACAGAATCACAATTGAAGGCTCTTCCAAATTTCTACTACAGTACATCCCACTCTCTCTCTTATGTAGTGACTTATTACAAACATCTCTACACTATATACAACATGTGAAGTAACAATGTCCATGGACACACAAAATCCTTTCATGTACCCTGAATATAGCAATGCCTACTGAAAAAATGAAAATGTTTCTTGAATTGTCAATGAAGAGAAGATAGAGGTCCCATATTTTTCAGTGTTTGTTGTTTTTACTATAACTGGCACCCTAGACTTGTTTGTCAGCCAAATACTAGTAGCACATCTGTCAGTAGTAAGTATAAGAGTGGGTGATATCCAATGTTGTCAAACTGCATGGTATGATATCCCATTTAGAGTATGATGATATCTTCTCCATCAAAACTGTCATAATAACAATGATCATTCATAATACACAATAGAGTGTCAGCATACAGTGCATACAGCTTTGTCTAGTTTAGTAGTGATACTTTCTATACTACCACTTGTATTAAGAGCTATGATATCTCATTACTATTGATTGCATGTACCATCATCTGTGGACTACCACTCACAGTAATAAGGATATAGTCAGAAATAATTTTCAATAAAGTGCAACTGAAATATCCCAATAGTTACTAAACTTAAATAACTGTATATTGCCCACCCTTGGTAGTAGTGTAAGTATTCACATTTTACTAGCAGTAAATGAAGCTAAAGCTTTCACAATAATTATGCTGTTTTGTCAATAGATTGCATTATATAGTTGAATTTCAAAAAGAAGTGTTTGTGAAAGATTTCTGTAATGCTATAGTACTAAGGTAGATATTTGGCATCTTCTTTTACAGAATCACAATTAGAGGTCCTTCCAAATTTCTACTACAGTACATCCCACTCTCTCTCTCTTATGTAGTAACTTATTACAAACATCTCTACACTATATACAACATGTCAAGTAACAATGTCTATGGTCATACAAAAAAATAATGTATCCAGAATATAGTGATGCACGTATACTGGATTTGAGCAGTCAGTGAAGAGAAGAGAGGTCTCATGTTCTTTAGTTTTGCTTCATAACTAGCACCCTATAGACCTGTTTGTCAGCCAAATACTATAGTAACACCTGCAGACCTGCCAGTAGTAAGTATAATATTAATAATAATATTATCTGAAATAAAGCTCCAGCATGTTATAAAAGCAGTAGCTGTACCCAAACACTCATCACTGGTAACCTACAGTAAAAGGATTGTTCAGTATTAGTTCTATACAGCAAGTCAAGACAAGATGGATTCCTGTTCTTATTTTAAGCTGATAGGATGCTTCATTCTTATTATTAGCATTGCTACTGCACAGGCTCAATCTACACGTAAGTCATGACATTAATAATAATAAAAATAACTATTTTGTTGATGTAGCTTGTCACCCTCGTGATTGTAAGGAGGTATATGAACGTGGTAATGTGAACAGTGGAGTATATACAGTGAAACCTGATGAACTACCAGCTTTTGAGGTAAATGTAATTATTATAGACTGAGTGATAGTGCTCTACTGCAGATAGGACACACACACACACCTTTTGCCTTGGTTTTGGGTGGTACTGGTTGAATAGCAGCCCTCAGTATCACCTCAAGCTGCTATTCAAACCAGTATAATACCCTCAACATTGGCCTTGCATTGGGTAGCATGGGCTGTAATATAGTATATAATTTGTATCTATAATAGGTCTATTGTGATATGAGTAATGGAGGTGGATGGACTGTATTTCAAAGGAGAGTGGATGGTAAAATTGACTTCTTCCTCAACTGGGTTGACTATGTAAAAGGATTTGGAGACCTCAATGGAGAGTTCTGGCTGGGACTTAGTAAAATAAACCGACTCACTGCAGCACAAAGCAATAACCTCTGTGTTGACTTGGAAGATTTTGATGGGAATAAGAAGTATGCTACTTATTCTACTTTTCAAGTAGGGAGTGGAGGCACAAGATACAAACTGACTGTGTCTGGATATGGAGGTGATGCTGGTGATAGTCTGAGCTATCATAATGGAATGAAGTTCTCTACTAAAGATTACCAAAATGATGGTACTGCAGGGCCACCAGCAAACTGTGCAGTGAGTTTCGAAGGAGCATGGTGGTATAACAACTGTCTACAATCAAACCTCAATGCTGTCTATTCTATTCGGTCTCCCTCCCCAAGTAGCATCTTCATGATGTGGTATCCTCATTATGACCTGAAGACATCTGAAATGAAACTTAGACCTAGTTAAACAGTCAATGTCTACTGGAGAACTAACAGTTCATTATTGCTAGTATAGCCGAGTCCATTTATATTTACTTTTTGCTACAAATATTCAATTGATTTCAAGTCTAGTCAAATACATTATGCGTGTACATGTACATGTACATAATCACAATTAACAACACTAGCAGTGTATGGTAGAATTAATAATGAGATTACCATTAGAAAAGGCATTAGGACACCATATCAAGAATAAGTACATGTAGCATGTACATGTATGTAACAAGTATACTTGGTCCCACCAGTGATATCAGTAATAGTCTACTCCACAAGAGGTTCTTCTTATGGCTTCACAGGATACAAGCAGTATAGTCAATGATTTGAAATGTTAATTAGTGACACCAAGAGAACATGAGGCAGTACCAAACATGCATATCCAATATTACCAATAATAATAATAATAATAATAACTAGAAGAATGTAAAATATTTGAAGTGGCTCAGCTCCCGAGCTACGTACACTATTCTTGTGCTGTATGACCTTCCTTGCTGCTGGAGAAGTTTTTGGATAGCAGTTTTGTCTTATCTAGTTGAGCATTTGCTGCAATATTTCGTTATGACCACACCCACTTTCAATGAAGATATAGATTGGCTATTTAACTATAATAATAGCTAGACGACCCTATGCCCTTACGGATAAACAGGCGCTTTCCCGTCTTAGTGGGCTTTACCCAATTATCATGTGACACTGTGTCATGTGACTCACCGTTAATCTTTGATATCAATACTCTATCAATTAGCTGAGGTATCAAGTGAATATCATTATCAGTGATGTCAGGCTCCTCCCCCTCATGGTATCCATATGTTAATAAACACTGTAACCATTTCATTGAGTCTATGGGTATAGCATCAAACTATATAGGGAGAAGAAAGGAAATTATTTTAAAACAAATTAAAATTATAGCATAGCCTCTCTTAATGGAGCATACATCTCCGTTTAACAGATAGCACCTAGTGTACCAATTACATTCTTTACTCTACTAGAAAGAATGTAAAACATTAAAAGGCTTGCCCTCCAGCCACGCCTCCCAATCACGCCCCAAATGCACATACATGTACTTGTATACATACATACAAAAATGCTTCACATCAGTGGGCTTCGCCTAAAATATCTTCCACATGTACAGTATGCATATCATTAATTAACATCACATGTAGCTATAATGTAATCAAATAAATTTAACTAAGAACATTTAAATTTTGTACATGTACACATCTTCTCCCTCCCTCTTCCTCCCTCCCTCCCTCTCACCTCCAGTGGGTTCCAGTATATCAGTTCATGTCTCACGTAAGGAGTGAATATTTTAGTTAAACAAAGACTGACGTAAGCCTCAGAGTAACTGCTGGACTGGGTGAACTTCCACTGCTCAAATCGAGTCTTGATTATATTCAAATCACAAAAATCATCAACGACATCAGAGAATACGTCATTAATATCAGGACCTAGTGATTCTGAGAGAGGCAAAGAGAGAGGAGAGAAAGAAAAATATAAATAAAATGACACATTTATTTTATTGACAAAAGTTACTTGTACATGTACATGTAAATAAATAACATGTACTAGTTCCACATTTAGCTAATTTTAAAATTATATATGTACATGTGTATATTAAATAAAATAAGAAATTGTGTATGATTAAGAGTTTAATTTTGATTGATTCACAAAACCAGCAGCAGATGTACATGTACATGTACACAACATACAAAATAACGCTAATGTACCTAATTCTTTATTAAAACGTATTTTATCAGTTTCCAGTAGTTCATCATCCGAAGACATTCCTTCATAATGATCAGTAGCAACTTCCTGTCTCTCTCTCTTCTCTCTCCTCCTCCTCCTCCTCCCCTCTCTCTCCACAATGCGTCCCTGACGCCCTTCGTCATTAGCCACACCCACTCTACACTCCTCAGACTCATCGGTGACATCTTGCCGTCTTCTGGTAATTAGGAGGCGTGACCTTTTAGAATGAATAGATTGAACTTTGACCTCTATAGATTTTATTAATGGAGCCTAAAATAAATGAAATATACATGTAACATGTACACATTGTACACATTGTGTATGCATCAGAAAATGTAATAAAAACGGAGAATTCTCACCTTTTCATTTTTGGCAAAAATTGGCCCGTGACCCTGTACTACAGTACAGGGGACTTTGGTCCAATTTTTTAGCAACTTTAAAAATTGATAAAAAATCCAATTTTGATCGGAATCAGTTCAAACTTTCTACGCAACATAAGTACATGTATATACATCAGAAAATGTAATAAAAATGGAGAATTCTCACCTTTTCATTTTTGGCGAAATTTGGCCTGTGACCCTGTACTATAATAGTACAAAGACTTTGGCCCGATTTTTGAGCAGCTTTAAAAATTCATAAAAAATCCAATTTTGATCGGAATCAGCTCAAACTTTCTACGCAACATAAGTACATGGATATGTATCAGAAAATGTAACAAAACATGTATAATATGTACATGTTCTATGTACATTATGCACACTGTATGGTCATGAGAAGCACCTGTTGAAATGTACATTGAATATTGTGCTGTACCTTTATAGCAAGACATGAGAGTAGGTCTCTGAGATATCCTTTCATTTGTTGATAGAATAAATAATGTTCTTCAATCCTCGTAATACTAGTATCAGCTCCTTCAATGAAATCATTGGCATCCTTAACATCAGCCATAACCTGATCCAACTGCCTCCGGTGATTAGCAACACTGTCCTATTTATAGTAACAATATAAATGACATCATTCTATTTATAAACATGTGCATGTACACACATGATAGGTGTGTACATAGTATTTTTTTTAAAGATGACAAATTTTGCAAATTTTGCAAATTTTTAAGTTTTGCGAAATTAAATTCCTTGAAAATCAATTTAATATGGTACAAGATGGCAGAATAGTGGCAATTTGCAAAAATTAACTTAGTGAACCTCTGGATGCAGGTCATTTGTAAAAATTATTATCCTTGAAAAAACCGCTATATGGTAGTACATTCTATTTATAGTAACATCAATGCCATCTTACTACATGTAGTTATAGCTGACATCATTCTATTCATAGTAACAATAAAAATGTATTCTATTTATAGCACTAAACCACACCCACCTTTAATTCTTGTAGCCGATTAGATAATCTCGATTTCAAACTATCAAAAGTGACCGGAACAAATTTAACCGATACAGGAGGAGGGGGCGGGGCCCTTGTTTGCTGTTGGTATTGTTGCTGCTGATAGTCAATGCCGTAAATGAAAGATTGTGTGAGAGGGTCCAACGAATTAATGGTGACTGGTTCATCGGCCGGGAGTGGGTTACTGGCTTTGATTCCTTTATTGATCTGCTCCTCCTCCCATCGCTGGGTCTCCTCATCCTCTGATTCACTGTCAATGTTCTCCAATGCACTCAATACCTGCAGTGTAATGTATGCATGTACATGAATAATGAATAATCAAATATGATTGAGCTACATGTAATAATTATAATTATGTGCAACAACAAGTATAGTAAATCTCTCAGATACATGTACATGTACATGTAAGTACATGTGTAATACCACATGCATACATGTATAATACTTTTGAATTTGTACAGTACATGTACATGTACATGTACAGAATGTAAAATAGTAACAATCAGAATTAAGATGCTTTTGGCAAAAAATTCCTAACTTTTATTTGTACTTTAATATACAGTACAATATACATGTATATTTAATGACTATAACTTGAAAATTTGTTGTCGGAATCAGCTCAAACTGTCTACATAGCCTAAGGACATCAATATGTACAATGTATCAGAAAATGCAATAAAAATTTGGGGTGATTTTGGAGCCATTTTTTTGAAAAAAACCATGGGCTTTGTTCCCTTTTCAATGGGCTATAGTACAGGGATTTTTTCAGATTTCGGCCAATTTTTTAAAATGGCTATTTATGAATTCATTCATTTATTACTTGTAATTGTCTGGCTGGTTCTTTCTTTTTCCCGAATGTCATGTGACGTGATGTCAGGCCACTTCCTCCCTCCTCTTCCTCCTCCTCTTCATCACTTTTATCATTCTCATCTTCTCTGATGAGCCGAGACTTACCAGATGCTGCTTTAGGAGCTCTGTGTAATCAATAATAACAATAATAATAATAATAATAATATTAATAATAATAATAATAATAATAATAATAATAGCATCTATTGTACATGTACAACAACAAAGAATACTCCCCCAGTTCATGAGAATAAAGCCAGTTATACTAGTTCCACTCCCACTCATTGTAACGAGCCTACATATACACCACATGCTGTTTCATGCACAATGTACATGTATGTACTGTCAGTCCCTAACTGGTTTTTTGTGGTAATTATGTTAATAAATTTTTATAATGTTTGATTGTTTATTAATGTTAACTAAAATAGGAAGCAGCCTCAAGCAAGGCTTGTTGCAGCCCTTATAAAAATCATCTTCACTGTTCGACAAAACTACCATATACGTTCAAATTTTTGAGGGTTCAAAATTTCATGTTTTCAATAAAATTTGCTCAAAAGTTAATATTCGTGTGAGCTAATTTTCGTGTTCTGGCCATAGTCTACATACAATAGAATGGCATTAGAGGTGGTTTAAATTTCGTGGATTTAAGGTGAGCACGAAAATAACGAAATTTAATATACCTCAAAAACTAAGACGCGTACAGTAGTAAAGTGAAATTAATTTAAAAGTCTCTTTTTTACAGTGTCAAAGGGGATCCTGTTATTGTAATGGCATGATTGTGGTACACTCTAAAGTACACAGCAAACCCTGGACCTGTATGTAAATCACTTAACTTCTACACAACAAGACGGTAATTACAGTCTCATGCTCAATGTATGTACTGTCAGTCCCTAAAGTGATTTTAGTTAAAATTTGTGGCACTGACACGTAACTATGTTAATACATTTCTTTATTATAATGTTTGTTAATTAAAATATGAAGCAGGGCTTGTGCCCTTTCAAAAATTTAGTTCCATACAAAAGGTATAATGATGGGATTAGTTACACATCACATACAATGATGTTGAGTCTCCTTTTATACTGCTGGTTTGTGAAAAGGCACTAGTGGGTCGTATAGTGTGACAATACTTCAAAGGGCATTCACTGGTACAGAAACACTGCAGGGTGGGGGCAGCCTGATTCTATTGAATTCAAATTGTCTCAGCTTCTACACAGTCAATAATAATACAGTCAGTCCTGTCTATTCCAGACACCTTGGGACCCAATAATACCCTAGCTCCTGATTATGAACCTGTCCTTATTCATTAATTCACATTTCAGAGTGTCCACAATAGACTGGTTTGGCATTTTGATGCACTATTGTAAATACATGTAATTACATTGTAGTACTAAAATTGAATCCTATTTGGTACATGTGCATGTACATGAGTGTAGACATTATCAAAATTATCACCATGCATCATTAAATTAGATATTATACTGTACATACAATTAATATACATGTACATGTACTATGAAATGTCACTACTGTACAAGATGATTTATTGGTGAGAGTAATATTTGGTGATTTTGCCTGTGGAAAGTTAATTGGCGGATTTTATATCAGGGATTTCTTCATAGAACCACCAATCAACAATATTAATTCCTTGCCAATAAAGCATCTTGTATGGTAGTGATGGGCGATTCCGAGTCCGGAGTATTCAATCCTTCGATTCCAAATGGAATCGTACTCGTATCAAAGGAGAAGTGGGAATCGTTTGAAACGATTCCGAATTAAGCCACACCCAACCACACCTTTTAATATTAATAATAGTTAAGTAATCAGTACTTAATACCTCAATTATTCATTATTATTGCATTTTTATTGCTGTAATTGATACCACGTGGCTTTGTGCATTTGTAGATGTAATACTCGGAATCGGTATTCGATTCCATCGATTCCAGTCTCAAAAGTATTTAGAATCGGAATCAAAAGCAAATTTCTGGATTCGCCCATCTCTATTGTACAGTATTTCAAATATTAAATTGAATGATATTACAGTATTGCATTGTACAAATACACTGTACTCTGTGTATTTATGCCCATCCGTAATTTTTCGGTAATGTTTGTGACACATAATAATAGATTAATGAGTGTCTATAAGATATGAAGTGGCATGAAAGGGCTTGTACAGCAAGCCCCTCCAAAAATTTTTTCACAGAAAAATTTAGGAAGCTGGAAGCATGATTAAAGTAAAATTTGCAAGTGTCCTTTTATACTGCTGGTTTGTGAAAAGGCACTAGTGGGTCACACAGTGTGACAATACTTCAAAGAACATCCTGTTATTGTAGACATTTTTCTGGTACATCTAAATAAACACTTCATGGGAAACCAAACTTTTCCCCATGCAATCTCATGCTATTGAATTTAAATTGCGGTTAAATGACACATGGAAATGGTATCAGTCAGTTCTATCTATTCCGGACACCTTAGGACCCAATAATACCCTAGCTCCTGATTATGAACCTGTCCTTATTTCAGAGGTTCACTAATAGAGTATCCACAATAGCAGGTTTCACATGTACATGTACAATTACACTCCAATTACAACTAAAATGGATATCAAAGCTAACAATTAATCAGTGATGTACATTGCACAACCGTGTACATGTACATGTATATGTACATGTACATGTATATGTACATGTACATGTATGTATGTGTACATGTATGTACATGTACGTGCTATTGTAAATAATCAGTATTAAAATTGAATCCTATTTGGTACATGTGTACATGTAGATGAGTGCAGACCTCATCAAATTACAGTATAACAGTTATTTTTGCGATAGAGTATTTTCACAAATCTTGCATTTAGATTTTGCAGAATTAATTTTTGCAAATAGCTTGCAGGCTGCACCACATGGCAATGGAAATGCAGAATTTCCGAATGGAAAAGTTTCACGACTGAACATAAAACAGCGAAATTTGCAAGAATATTTCACTGCGAAAATAAACTGGTATACACTATCATCACCATTTAAATTTATACTGTACATGCACAACTACTATTTATACACCCATCCATAATTTTTTCCATAAAATTTGTGACACATAATAATACATTAATTAATGTCTATAAAATATGAATCAGCATAATAGGGCTTGTACAGCAAGCCCATTCAAAAATTTTTTCCAAAAGTGATATTATTAAGGAACTCAGTTAAAGTAAAATTTCTGAGTGTCCTTTTATACTGGTAATTTGTGAAAAGGCACTAGTGGGTCGCACAGTGTTACAATACTTCAAAGAACATCCTGTTATTGTAGAGACATTTTTCTGATACACCTAAACAAACACTTCATGAGGAACTCATGCTATTGAATTCAAATTGTGATTAAATGACACATGGAAACGGTATCAGTCAGTCCTACCTATTCCAGACACCTTGGGACCCGATAATACCCTAGCTCCTGATTATGAACCTGTCCTTATTTCAGAGGTTCATTAATACACATTACTATTGTATTGGGACTGATACTACCTGTCCTCATTATAGAGGTGTCCTTATTTTAGAGTGTCCACAATAGCAGGTTATACTGAACATGTACATGTACAAAACATACTCAAACTAAAATGTGTATCAGTTTCATGTAAATCGGTGGTGTATGCATGTACAGTGTAAAATTGAAAATGGGCATTACACATGTAGTACAAGACAGGTAACACAACAAACTGTACTTTTATATGCTACATTAATTTTAAATTTGGTCTACATGTACAATGTACGTGTACATGTACCGTATTTCCTCGAATAAGGGCCTAGGCATTTATTACTTAACAGAGGCAATAATCACGAAAAAATAAACTAAATAAATAAGTGCCAAAACCCCGGCTCCAACCCTTGACTCTACGATATGTTCCTAAGACTGAAGATGAACAATTAGGCTATTTGGACCACTCCAACCACAAGGACACATAACACTGGATGAAATATGAATATCTATAGTGGTAATATATTAGTGATAGGCCTTTATTTGAGTAGGCTGGGCCCCTATTAGAGGAAATACAGTACATGTACATGTATATATGTACATGTTTAACTTAAAATATTGCTATTATAGTCATACAGTATTTCAGAATAATTAATACATTGTATGTGTAATTAATTAATTACTTTTTATCATCTTTGTCTAGTGACATATACTCCAGACCCCTCCCTCCTCCTCCTCCTCCTCTTTCTCTCACCAGCTGTCTCTTCTTCCTTATGGCGTGGATCATTGTAGCATCAGGTACTATACCAGCATGGAGTCTATCAAGGACTGATCCTTCTCCATTACCCTCTCCTCCTCCCTCCTCCTCCTCCTTATCATCTTCATCATCATCATCTCTCAGTGCTTCCTATTAATGAAGATAACTCTGCTTTCAACCATAATTTTGTTCAGCCATCCACTAAATTTTGTACATGAACGTACATGTAAAAATTAATGTTTTTTTAGAATATATGTGACCATAATTGACAAAAGGTACCTTATGGCGGATTTTAAAATTCATCATTATAATGAAAAATATCAACCTGTGACTGCTCTGTTGGACATCTATTGTGTTTAAAAGTTATATAGTAACTTTTTGCAACCTGTGGAGTAATTTTATGATAAATGGAGCTCAGGAAGTTGGATTTTCTTGGCTATAAAGGCAAATTTCACTACCCGCCATAAGGTACCTTTTGTCAATTATGGTCACATATGTGTACACATAGCTTATAGATGCTTTACCAGTAATTAATAGGGGGATACTCAACCATACCTCAGAAAAATTTCATGGTTACAACTTTTGTGTTTCAGGCCTAAACCCCAAGATTACAAAGTTTTAAACTATACAGTAATTTCTAATTGAAAGATTGTGTTTCTTAATGCAATATTATTTGCAAAAATTTTTGGGGGCATGTACATGTACATGTAGTTATTAATGTCGTGTACTTTAATTAGTTTCTCTTCTTGTCGCTTCCTCTCTTCCAATTCCCTCTCTCGTCTTAGTTTCTTTGACAATGAGGACTTCTTTATTTTAAATTCTTCACCCTCCCCAACCTCATCATCAAAACTTAATAAACTGGAGGAGACTTGCGTGGGCGGATTTGCACCTCTGTTAGTTGTCAAGGCAACAGGCTCCGCCTCTTCATCATCGTCTTTCCATTCCTTAAAATATAATAATTATAAATTCATAATAAACAGTTCAATACTTTTTTCTCTCTTATATTTCTTCCAGCATTCTTTTTATTTGCTCTTTTCTTAAACGACGCCATCTTTAAAATTAATGTGCGTTTCATGTGCCACGCCTACAATTGGGGCGTGGTTTAATAATTAATTTAAAATGGCTACCAGTGGAGAGGTAAGAGAGAGAGGTGAGGCCATAGCTGCCGGTAGGAGCGAGTCAGCAGTAAAGAAACTGTTTGGTAGCTTAGAAGAGCTGCAGAACAAACTGAAAACAAGAGGAGACGATGAGTAAGTGACTCATTGTAAATTACTATGCACTCATAGTAAATTTCATCAAAAATGGCAAGTAGAGAATTGTTCATTTTTATCACATTTCCTGATGCATATACATGTTCTTGTGTTGTGTAGAAAGTTTGAGCTAATTCCGATCAAATTTGGATTTTTCACGAATTTTTAAAGTTGCTCCGAAATCGGGTAAAACTACCTGTACTATAGTACATGGTCTCGGGCCAAATTTTGCAAAAAAAATGAAAAGTAGAGAATTGTCCATTTTGATAACATTTCCTGATGCATATACATGGTTTTATGTTGCGTAGAAAGTTTGAGCTCATTCCAATCAAATTTGGATTTTTCACAAATTTCTAAAGTTACTTGAAGATCAGGCCAATGAAGATTGTGTATACTATTTAGTAGTACAGGATATGAGAGAACCGTTCATTTTCTGATGCATACTTTTACATGTACATGTATAACTGAAGTTGCACATTATCATCATTATTTATTAATATTTATTACTATTATTATTATTATTACTATTATTATTACTATTATTATTATTATCACCTATTAGATACGGTGAGAGGTTGTTGGAAGAGGCTGAAGTGGTTGCAGAGTGTCTGGCCTATCACACTAGACAATACACAACAGCACGTGGAGATATATTTGATATATCAGGTACAGTAATAACAATAATAATACCATAGGGTGCTTTTTTTAGGGCTGTAAATTTTCGAATTTACCTAAAAATCTATTTTGCAGATTTAATTTTTGTGAATTTATGCCGTCTGTCATTTTTTACCATAATAATTTGATTTTCGTGGAAGTAATTTTTTGCGAATCTTCAAAAAATTATGAAATCCGCGAAATTTATTTGCCCTCGAAAAAAGGTGCCCTATGGTAATAATGATGATGATGACACTGCTACGTGTAAATCTAGAGGGAGTTTAGGAGACTTTTGGTCTCCCATATTTGGTCTAAGTCTCCTGAAATCTATCATTTTTCAGCTTTTGGTCTAGCTCTCATATTTAGCCCTAGGGGTACTTAAGTCTACCATTTTTAGCTAGATTGATCTTCCAAAATATCAATAATAATAATAATATTCAAATAATGTATTTTCTCTATTTATTCAGGTGCTTTATGGAAAGCTATTCAAAGTATTGTCCCACTCAAGAAAGAAGTTGAAGCTTTACGAGAAATCAATAAAAACTTTAAACTGATAGAAGCTGGAATAGACCCATCGTAAGATACCAAACAAACCTTGTTGTTGTTGTTGTTGTTGTTATTATTATTATTATTATTATTATTATTATTATTAGTCCAGTTGAACTGCCTCCTGTTGGTAGACCTGGTAGGAGCTCATCATACGAGGACTTTAAACAAAGCAAGCTCCAGGAGACAGGGGGTGGGGCTCCGATGAGCAGTGGGCGGAGTGAGGGAGGGTCAGTCCCAGCTTCTCCCACTCCTAGCTTTGGTATACGTAAAGCTAAGAGTGATCCTGATGTTAACAAACACAACCTTATGAAAGACTTAGAGGTAATACATGTACATGTACATGTACTTACAGTATAAATGCAGTACTGTATAGCTAGAAAATTTGGTGGAGTAAAAAATTTGGCGAAATTGGTAAATAGAAGTTAATTTGCCAAAATTTTAGTCTCCAATTTGATAGGGTTCCATAGAAGCATGCACAGGGTTAAAAATTTTAACGTTCAAACCTCTTTTAGAGTCATTTTGCTGAATTTTAGCACTCCAAATTTTCTAGCTATACGGTAATTAACAGCTGGTACTATTGGGAATGTTGATTGGAATGTTCTTGCTACAAAATGCCTAAATTTTTTCTCCACGTGGATAGTACATGTACGTAGATTTATAACTAAAATGATGATAATTTTATTGACGACAATTAATTTTACAACAAGAAATTAAGATTTTGGGGCATGTACAATGTACACGTACATGTTCACTGTACTTGATTGTAATAATCATTGTATGTTGATTATATACTTGCCTCTCTCTCTCTCCCTCCCTCCCTCCCTCTCCCTCTCTCTCCCTCTCCCTCTCTCTCTCTCCTCCAGTCCATGCGTGTTGATATTAAGAGGCTCAAAGGAAGTGAAAAGAAGCTGTTGAAGGACAAGCAGTTGCTAGGGAGGAAGTGTAAGCTACTGGAGGAGGAGAGAGACAGAGCAGAGGACAGACTAAAGATTGAACAAACACAAGTAAGAGATTCACATATACACGCCCCTTTTGTACATGTACATGTACATGTATGCATACTATACCCGTAACACTGTAATATGAACTTTGCTGATTTTAAGTAATTTTTTGTTTTGAGCATTACTATGCATTTATATTATTATTATTATTATTATTATTGAACAGACAACAAATGTAAAATATAAAATAGAATAGGTTAAGTTATTTTATATAGAGAAGGAGAGTACAAGAAAAATATAATAATAAATTTTTGAGAACAAAAGAGTTTTAATTTAATAGTCATTAATAGTCATTAGAATGAGGGCTGATCCCTGCTCCATCCTCAAAATGGATCGACCTCAGCTTAGATCTAGTGCCCCTGAGACATACCGTATGGAAGGAAATTTTGGAGGTAGTTAAATTTGGCGAATTTGGCGTTTTGATAGCCATTCGCCAAAATAAAAATTCGCCATTTTGAGCCATTATACGCATGCTCAATGGCACGTGGCCACAAATTTGCCAAATTAAAATTCGCCAATCACCAAAATTTAGCAATTCGCCAAAATTTAGTCCCTCCAAAATTTCCTTCTGTACGGTAGTCCAGTAGCCCTCAGTAGAGCAAATGACAGTCTCTTACGAACCCAGTAGATTATTTTGACCGTATGGTTGATCCCATTTTAAAGAAAGTCTCTCAGCCAGCTTCTTGAGGAAAGTGTTATTATTATCATTATTATTATTATTACCATTAATAGAGAGACTCTATTGAGAAATTAAGACAGAGGAACAGAGAGTTGGAAGAACAAGTTAACAAATTAAAGAGAAGACAAGTATGTACATGTACATGTACATGTCCTTTAATGTGGGGTACTACATGTATATGTTATGTAGAGCTGAAACGGATGTGGCATTTCACTATCCAGATATCCTGTTTAAATTTCTTTCAGATATTTGCCGGATAGTTAATTAATAATAGTTAATTATTTAGTGAATGTAGACATCAGAAAAGCAAAGTTTCTATTCCCCAGGATGCTATTCTTGTACATTTCTGGTAATTAAAAGCTCAAAAAAGATTAAGAAGTGGCTGAGAAGGTTGGTAGCTTCAAGACAGAAATGTATTAATTAATTATAAAGTCTAGTTATTAAGGTTAATTATCCTATTTGTCAATAATCACTATCCGGATACTAAATTGATAAATGGATATCCGGATAATCAGGATATCTGTTTCAGCTCTAATGTTATGTACACGTACATGTACATGGATTTTTCATGAATTTTTATTATAAAAATTAACAAAAGCCCTGCACTTGTCTATGTACGTATATTTTTCAGTTGAATCTCAGCAGGCAACTATACTGAGCTGCTTCATTATGAATTTGTCATGGGATGGGCTCAGTATAATACTCTTTACTTTTCTCTGTAGGTCATCAAAGAGAGGGAAAAGGGAGAGAATGAATGAAACTGATTTTTGCATTTAAAGAATTAATTATTTTCTTTTTAGTAACTTTAATTAATCAATTATCTCTCACATTATTCATTACTAATTCTTTTGAAGTAAAAGCCATCTTGAGAACTAGCTACACGAGAATGGACACTATTGCCTCTAAAACATGTGTTCAGCAACAAGTAATTTTCAAAAAGTGGCAATGTACATGTAGTTCAAGGCATAGACAATATACTACATATCTACTATCTATTTTCAAGGGTCTTTCCCTCTGAAAAAATAATATTTCACATTATCCGCGTATGTGGATAACTATTATGTACATGTTTAACTATTATGTATTATGTTTATGCTGTACATAATGTACAGCATAATCAAGAAATAAAGTCATAGAAATCTGAGTGATTTGCCTCTTTAAAGAGTGATGATGATTAATCAATGGCTGAATGTATGATATACATTGTACTACAAGAAAGTGTGTGAGTGAAGTGTGTGGGTATGTCAGGTGAGGTATGTATGGTATGTTATTATTGAGTCAGTTATTATTAATAGTGCAGACTGTAGAGGCTGTTTACTGGAGGAGATGTCATCAAGTAAGTGACCTGTTCTCTTTCTCTCTCTTGCTTTACTCCTCTGTATCCTCTGCTCATTATAACTATTCACTATATTACTGTGTCCTCTTGTTATCTATAGTCTATCAACCAGTCGAGAGGTACTTTCACTCTACAGTACAGGTAGGAGACTACCTGTACTTGTGGGGTGGGAGGCTGCCTGATACTGAAAACATGAAATCAATGCATTCTGTAGTGGAGGTCTGTCATGTACCATCTGGTGAGTGGGTACAAAAGCCTACCACTGGTGACCCTCCACTTGGTGTTCAAGGATATGCTGCTGCTGTCATTAGAAATGAAATATTCTTTTATGGAGGCTATAATGTGAACTATATACATTTTCATGAAGGTCATCATAATAGTTTATACAGGTAAGCATAATAGTTACTGATAAATATTATATAATATTTTATACAGTTTTAATGTTGATACCTTCAATTGGAAGGAACTCTCTCCTACTACATCTCATCATGGTCCTATGATGAAGACTGGCTCTGGTATGGTTGCACTACAAATCAATGATGAGGACTATCTTGCAGTAATTGGAGGTTGGGGACCATTTTATACCCCACCACAACCTGGTGCCCAGTACAGTGGAGGTGGTTATCAATATTGCAATGAAGTGCATATGTACAGATTAAAAACTGGTCAGTATAATATGATATTAGGTTTATAAATGTAGTTTATACATTTATATACAGTAATTAAATTGATGTACTTATTATATGTGTGTATGTCATCATAATCCTCCTGGTTACATCTTAGTACCCAACTACCATAACTGTAGCCTATAGCGCTGGGCTTGCACCTTGATTGTAAGTACCAGTCTCCTCAAAGATTAACATACCCATTAGTTACAATAACCATTCTATGGTATATGAATTCTACAATATCTATTATACATGCACAGTGTGTGTGTGTGTTCATATAATTTTTATTATTTTTAGGTGAATGGGCTTCACCAACTGTCACTGGAGACAGACCACCTCCTATTAATGCCTTCACTTTAACATCAATAACTAATACCACTGCTATATTGTTTGGTGGTGAGATTAGTTATAGTAGATGGAGTAATGATGTATATGTATTTGAATTTACTGATACATCAGTGGTGAGTGTATTGAAAATTATAACAGTGTGTGGGTATAGTGTTTATAATAATAAAATAATAAAATACCCTATAGCTGGAAACTCTCAAGGCCAATAACTTTTCCTGTTTTGTCATAATTAAAATTCACAAAAATGGTGGATCTACAATAGTTTAATTCATGAAAAGTTTCCAGCTATACTGTAGTGGATTTTTTATTAAATATTTTAGAATTGTACAATGTTTTCTAATCCTGGAGGATCAGTACAATGGCCTGAGGAGAGATATCATCATTCCAGCGTATTGATCAACTATAGCTCAGGACCACACCTACTAGTGGTGGGTGGATGTGCTGGTGGTATCCATGACTGTTGGTTGTTAAATATAAACAAAATGGAATGGAAACAACTGGTAAGTATTATAATATAATTGTGGTGAGCATGAGTGAGTCCTACTATAGTACGAGACTATACTGTGTTCTAGTACATGTACGTCACTCCTCAATGATAATCAATTTAATACAGTACAACTGGTCAGTATAGACATGTGCATATGATAAAGAAATGAAAGATTATGCTATGAGTAGTTTTTAAGAAAGAGCTCATGAAGCTTAATTGCCTTTGTTGTCATTTTTGTGAGTGTGATTGGGAGGAGAGAGAAATCATTTTTATTAACCAGATTATTATTTTATCATTATTTTTAATTATATAGACTAATATACCAGACAGTGTCACTGATAGATATGGACATTCTCTCTCAGTTTGGAATGAGACACAGGCCACTCACTGGATAATTGAGTTTGGAGGAGGGAGCAGTAGTGGTTCAGAACTAAGTGATACAAGATTTATTGAAATCAGTGAGTACATTGTATACATTAGTAGATACAATGTGTATTGAATATGTAATAATAATAGAATGAGTCTGTGCTTGCTGTACTCCCTTTCAACTATACTTGTAAAACATTTGGCATTAGGTTATAAATTGCATAAAATAATTTATTATTATTATTATTATTATTAGTATCTAGTACTGGTGATTTGGTAGTACAGTCAGTACTGGACATTAATGAATATCGAAGGGAAAGAGCACGGCAAAGACTTGCACAAGGTATGAACACACACACATGCACATGTACATGTACAAGTATACACTGTAACTTCAAGGACTTTTCATGCACTGAAAAAAGCATATTGTCCATTGATGTTGATTATATAGTGTTCAGATACTATGGAGTGGTTGATGTGATATATATGTGACCAATGTAAAGCATAACCCTATATATGTACTCCTGTTTTATTGATAGCAATCTTGTGTCCTAACTGGTCCAGCTTGACAATGACTGCATTGTATTGATTCACTGATGCTAGCAAGAGTACATACCTAAAGGTATTAGGTACTCTCGATGCTAGTCAATCAAGTTATGACAATAATAATTATACTTATTTTAACATTGTCTGTTGAACTTCTGTTATTAATTTCATTTTAGCAGGTCATCCTCCTTCAATTGAAGGTAAGAATGAATTCTAATTATTATTATTATCATTATTTGATTTTTTATTTTTATAGACATTATGAACAAGAAGCCACAAAAGAGTGACCTCCTTAGATATTTCACAAGTTCTGCTGCTCATTATTCAACTATTGGTATTGCACTTGATGTTGATGTGACTGACTTGTTGCATAGTCCAATGGCAGCCTCTGATAAGCTCATACTAGTGTTTCAGAGATGGATAGACTCCAATAAAGGAGTGACCTGGAGGAAAGTACTTCAAGTTTGTGATGATTATCCAGACCAACTTGGAAGAGTAAAAGCTGAAGTGGAAAAATTCCTATCATCAGACAGAGCCCATGATAATTATTAAAAATAATAATATACAATAAACTAATACTTTGTGCACAAAATTAATTTCAAGTAGCTAATAGTATTTTTGTTTGTTTTTTGTGTGAATTAATTAAGGTTTACAATGTATCTCTCACATTTATTATTATTTTTTCAAAAGAACTTGAAGTAAAAATAATGACAAAAGAGAGAAAACAAAAAGAAAAGAAATACCATATTCATAATATGTATTAATGTTAAAGACATACAGTGTATGTACATAGTGCAAAAGCATCAAATCCTCTACTGTACTTCACACAATAATGAGTGTACATACATTAGTGTGTGTATGATAAAGGACAGTTATACATGTACTTGTATTGTTTATGTGTGAGTTGTCTGTTGCTGCTTCAATTGGTCAACATGAGCCATTATCTATAGAAAGAGAGAGAGTTGAGATATTGTTTGTATAATTCAAAATTAGAAAGATGTACATATGAAATTTGTGAGTTATGACCATTATACTGCCTCTGTGTGTGTGATCTATTGATTTATGATTGAGTAGTTTTTAATTAATGGTTCATTAATGTGCAGTAATGGTAGTCCTTATTAGGAAGTAAGATATGTACATAATAAATTGCATAATTAATTACATAGCTGGTAGCTACCCACGCCATACAGAATTGTCTCTATCAATGATTCTAAGCTAGATCAAGACATGTTTCCTTCAAGTTTTACCATCACTCATGCAGTAATGATTCGTATACTATACAAGCTGGTTTATTACACATGTACAGTCTACTTATGAAACAGCACTAATACGGATTCTTTATTATGCATAGTATGAAAAGTTGTAGGGAATATTCTACTATAATTATTAATGACATTATCTTAAACTGAATGGTTTATGCTTCTTAAGACAGTATAGGTTCAAATTTTAAAAGCTCATAACTCAAAAATGTGCCTAAAAGTTGCTCAAAATGCATGCACAGCACAATTAAGGACACACATAATAATGTAGATGTATCAGGAAATAAAGATATTTCCTAAGTGCTGATGATTTATGACTGAATGTATACAGAACAGTTTAAGATATGATATGCTACAAGAAAGAGAAGGGAAGCAATTATCACTGAGAAAAAGCACCAGCAGTAAATTATAATAAATAAATAATAATGAACTGTCTTTCTCTTCCCTCAGATTGGAGTTGTCAATTGTTCAATAATCCATTAGCAACTACTTGTGATAAATGCTCATATACTTACATTAATTATTCTTCCTCTTATATTGTTCACCATTTTTATACATATTGCTATTGTTTGTCATTAAATGCTATTGATTATTGCTAAGTCATGATTGGGTTGTCAGGTATGTATGGTATGTTATTATTGAGTTAGTTATTATTAATAGTGTAGACTGTAGAGACAACTGTTTACTGGAGGAGATGTCATCAAGTAAGTAACCTGCTCTCTTTCTCTCCCTTACTTTACTCCTCTGTATCCTCTCCTTATTATAACTATTCACTATATTACTGTGTCCTCTTGTTATCTATAGTCTATCAACCAGTGGAGAGGTATGGTCACTCTACAGTACAGGTAGGAAACCACCTTTACATGTGGGGTGGGAGGCTGCCTGATAGTGAAAAGATGAAATCAATGCATTCTGTAGTGGAGGTCTGTCATGTACCATCTGGTGAGTGGGTACAAAAGCCCACCACTGGTGACCCTCCACTTGGTGTTGAGGGATATGCTGCTGCTGTTATTAGAAATGAAATATTCTTTTATGGAGGCTATAATTTTTTTCATGACAAACATTATCATGACAGTTTATATAGGTAAGCATAATAGTTACTGATAAATATTATATAATATATTATACAGTTTTAATGTTGATACCTTCAATTGGAAGGAACTTTCTCCTACTACATCTGATCCTGGTCCTATGATGAAGTCTGGCTCCAGCATGATAGCAATAAAAGTGAATGATGAGGACTATCTTGCAGTAATTGGAGGATGGGGACCATCTTCTAATAATACCCCCAAACAACCTGGTGCCCAGTACAGTGAACGTTATGGTAATCAACTTTGCAATGAAGTACATATGTACCGATTAAAAACTGGTCAGTATATTAAGTTTATAAATGTAGTTTATGCACAGTAATTAAATTGATCTATACTTAATGTGTATATGTGTGTGTACATATTATTTTCATTATTTTTAGATGAATGGATTTCACCAACTGTCACTGGAGATAGACCACCTCCTATTTATAACTTCTCTTTATCATCAATAACTAATACCACTGCTATATTGTTTGGTGGCGTTGCTGGTCATGATAGGCCCATTAACGATGTATATGTATTTGAATTTACCAAGGATAGTACCGACATATTGATGGTAAGGGTATTATTAAGACCTTTTCACACTGGCATAAGTAAATGCACATTGATTGTGTTCACATTAGAGTGGTTTCAAAATGATATATGCATCAATGGGCATCATGCACTCACAACACTATTGATGTAAAGTGATGCCAAACGGTAACAAAACTAACACAAAATGATACATACCGTATTTTGGCGATTTTGCTGTAAAATTGTAATTGGCGGTTTTTAATTTGGCAATTTTTGTGTACACGTGCATTACTGAGCATGTGCATTAATGATTGGTGGATTTAATATTGGTGATTCTGCTTGCAAACCGCCAATAAATAAAACTTCGCCAAATTAAAGTGTTACATGGTAATTCAACTGCTAGTGTGAAAAAGATCAATGAGCATTATTTTAGCTGTATCAACAAAGCTCTTTTGAACTGCTAGTGTGAAAAGCTAGGCCTTTGGTACAATTACATTAAATGTATGATAATTGTTATTCATAAAAATAACAGTGTGTGGGTATAGTTTATGATAATAAAATAAATTAATACTTTATAGCTGGAAACTTTCAAGGCCAATAACTTTTGGTCTTTTTGTCAAAATTAAAATTTGCAAAAATAATTTATTTTGGGTGGGTCGATTATTTTAATTCATCAGAAGTTTCCAGCTATACCGTCATAAATATTTTTATGAATATTTTTAGAATTGTACAAAGTTTCCTAATCCTGGAGGATCAGTACAATGGCCTGAGGGGAGACATATTCATTCCAGTGTATTGATTGACTGTGGCTTAGGACCACACCTACTAGTGGTGGGTGGAAAGGGTACGAAGGACTGTTGGTTGTTAAATATAAACAAAATGAAATGGAAAAAACTGGTAAGTATTATAATATAATTGTGGTGAGTATGAGTGAGTCCTACTAGTACGAGACCACTGTGATCTGTCTGTCTGTACATGTACGTCACTCCTCAATGATAATCAATTTAATACAGTACAACTGGTCAGTATAGGCATGTGCATATGATAAAGAAATGAAAGATTATGCTATGAGTAGTTTTTAAGAAAGAGCTCATGAAGCTTGCCTTTGTTGTCATTTTTATGAGTGTGATTGACAATGGAGGAGAAAGGAGGAGGAGAGAGAAATCATTTTTATTAACCAGATATATTATTTAATCATTATTTTTAATTATATAGACTAATATACCAAACACTGTCACTAATAGATATGGTCATTCTCTCTCAGTGTGGAATGAGACACAGACCATTCACTGGATAATTGTGTTTGGAGGCTTTTCATCAGTCACTGATACAAGATTAATTAAAATCAGTGAGCTAGTACATGCATACATGCATTAGTGAGCCTGTGCTTGCTACACTCCCTTTTAACTATAATACCTAGGCTATAGATGTAGATGTAAATATGGTATGAAAAATTTTTGTCAGGAACGCATTCTCATGATTTGTAAATACATTCAAAAATTATGGTAAAAAATTCAAAATAAAATTTTAGTTTTGAAATAATAAAAATTCATGCATTACCTCAGTACAAGTATCAAAAAGTAAAAATTAAAGAAGTTGTAGTGAGCTCAATTAGCTCATGATGTCATGTTGGCTCATGCATTATTCACAATATCTCTTTACATTATATTGCATGCCTTCTTTTATTGTGTAATGGTGTCAGTTTGAGGCAATTAATGTGAGTGCACTATCTCAAGCAGCATATCTGCCTTTTTGTCTAGGCATATCTGCCTTTTTTTATTCACTAGAAAGTTATTCTTTAGAATTTGCAAAATATTCTGTAAAAAAATTGTAGTAGGTACCATTTCTACATTCTTTTGTCTTTTTAAAATTGTTTTTTACAAAGTATAATTCAGTGTGCAAATTACATGTATATAAAGATTGTTATTGTTATTATCAAGATTTATTATTATCTTTAGGTATAAAAAAAATAATAAATAATATAATAAAACAGACAACAAATGTAAAAATATAAAATAGAATAGGTATTATTATTATTATTGTTATTAGTAACTAGTGGCCGTGATTTGGTAGTACAGCCAGTACTGGAAAATAATGAATATCGACAGGAAAGAGCACGGCAAAGACTTGCACAAGGTATGAACACACACACATGTACATATACAAGTATATACATGTATACTGTATGTGACCAATATAAACCAGTGGGTATTATAGTCCTGAGTCCTATATATGTATTTCTGTTTTATTGATAGCAATCTTGTGTCCTAACTGGTCTAGCTGGTTTATAAAACCAGTGTGACAAGTGTATTGTATTATGTTTTATTGATGCACTGATGCTAGCAAGAGTACATACCTAAAGGTACTATGTACTCTTGATGCTAGTCAATCAAGTTATGACAATAATTATTATACTTATTTTAACATTGTCTGGTTAACTTTTGTTATAAATTTCATTTTAGCAGGTCATCCTCCTTCAACTGAAGGTAAGAATGTATTAGAATTATTATTATTATCATTATTTGATTTTATTGTTATAGACATTTTGGACAAGAAGCCACAAAAGAGTGACCCCTTAGATTATTCACAAGTTCTGCTGCTCATTATTTAACTATTGGTACTGCACTTGGTGTTGAAGTGGATGACCTGCTACCTACTCCAGGGACTGCTACTCATAACCTCATACTAGTGTTCCAGAGATGGATAGACTCTGATAATGATGTGACC